AAAAAAAAAAAAAAAAAAAAAAAAAAAAAAAAAACAAAAAACGATTTTTATTTCCTAGGAAATCTGAAACCCTTCAAAAAAATTTGAAATCTGAAATATGAAACTTCAGACAATTTCAAAATTTGTGAAAGGTAACTACGATAATCCTATTTAGGCGGTCCTTGACCTAAAGTTAAAATTCATTCGTATTCACTTTTTACGAAAGGCGGAAGTACCTGAGAGTAGTCAGTGACAGCAAGTGTAAAAAGCACCCAGCCGCTGAAAAAGCAGCCAACGGCTTTCTTTTAAAGAACTGTTAAGAAGCAAGCTGAGGAAAGTATGATTCGCTGGTATAGGCCAGTACCAATTTACCAACAAAACAGATTTAAAAAAAGCGGAAAGACTGGCTGTCTCAGTGGCGGAGCTGAACGTTCCGTATGAGCGCAGCAAAGTAGTGATGATAAATTAAAAATCTTAAATATCACATTGCTACCCGTTGTGGTAAGATGTGTTGATTATTTCTTCCTGACTGTATCGACTGTGCCGGCGAAGGCTGCAGAGGAGGCCGGTTCGGCGTCACACGATACAGAGATGAATTTTCAAGCTTCTGACGCAAAATGCCCGTCAAAATTATTTCGACGTTGTATACCGCTGCAATTAACAAGCAACTTTTCTTTGCGAATTCAGCAAAATTAAACATTTGTAAACTGACTGATAAAAAAGTGATAGTGAGGAAACTAACGCATTCCGCAATCTGTGAGGTACTGAAGCAGATGCACATCACTATCGTTGCTAACTAGAAGAAGCGGCGATTCAGTCTGCAATAATTCACAGTGGAAATATGTGGGCAATGGGCTGACTTTCTAACTAAAATTGGATTCCCAAAGGGAAGGTATGAAGTAACGTACCTCAATACACTGTATGACATACGGGGGTTGCGGCCGCTCTCTCAAAACTGTGCCACCCGCAAGTTCGATCAACAAGGACAGCTGCGTATGGGATGGCTCGACGCTGGGAGACAAATAAAACGTTACATCCTGAATTAGAAATTATGATTATGGATATGAAACAAGCGTTTCTAAAGAGAGAAGATGTGTATACAGAAGATGTATTGTTGTAATGTGAAAACAAAACTTCTTGAATGTAAAATAAGAAACTCATTTGCAGTTAACAGGAGACGAACCTGAAAAAGCTTCCGATAGCGCGCTTTCAGGACGCTGTATTTCAAATTGTAGCCAAACACTTTCTCGTTTTCTTCATCGCGAGCAAAATAATCCAGAGAATCTGCAGTTGTAAAATACAAGAAATTATAATTGACATTTGTACGTTTTAAAACGTAACAGCAGTCCAGACTCACCACAATAAATCAACATAATTTGGTGATGACGCTCTGCTAACAAATAATGATTACCTGGGATAACGCGGCATCGGTAGCCATCAGTGACCCAGTTTGGCCCCACAACATTCTTACCCAACGCTACAGCTTCTAAAAGTTTCATTGTTCGCCACAGATTCAGTACCACCAAATGTGAGCAATCCTGCACATTTTCTGTAATCGTTCCACCAAGAAAGCGTACTTTCTGAAATACATACGTAATTTTAAGTATTATCTGCTCCACTGGTCTTTCAAACAAAACAACCGTCTCCCCTTTCTCCTCTATAAGATAGTCGCAGACAGCCCAGAGAAAGCTTACGACACCGATTTCACTAACAACAACAGTCTTGTCAAGGCTGCTGATAATTTCCTCTTTCGCTTAAAAAGCAAGCTGGTGACAGTCTGACTACATGCGTTCTAATCACATCCCGCATCAATTTGCCAATGGAAAAGAACGCAAACAGTTTGGCTTCTTTATTTGTAGATTCGAATCACATACCATTTATACCAAGCAAGCCAGCCAAAAAGCATGAAATTTGAAAGGAAAGTGGACGAAAAATAATGAAATCATCGTGAATATAAAACTTCCGATTTGGAATACCAAAGAAAAGTAATCTTAAATCATTCACATTCTCTAACAGAAAAACAAACTACAAACTTGCCCTTTGTAAAGCATCCTTTTCTTCAGGCGTAAAACCGCTGAAGCACACTACAGGAACATCTTTCAAGGTACCAATCTGCGCCCTTCTCAATTCGATTTCCTCATCAGTAGGTGGTGGAGTTGAAATCCTGAACAGTAAAATAGAAACCCTAGCATTTTCGTGCTCGAGAAAATTTTTTGAGAAAAATTTGGCCAAACGACGCACAGGACACCGGCAGAAGTGCGTTTACGAGTCTTACCGCAGGCGTTTATTCGGGAAGATATTTTCATCATTTTCTACAGTTCTTTTCACTTCCAGCGCTCGTTGCCACTGCTCATTTGTGAATAGAATAGGGGCTTTCCACGCCACTGCAAACAAGCCATTTCATTAGCATTTCTAAAAAGGCAGTTAAGTAAAAAAAAAATACTTCACATCCGCCTGATATTTGTTATTTAACAGATTTCCTTTTTCTAAATCGAATTTATCTGCCGCCACGCTTGAAGCATTTTGCAAAATCAAAACTAAATAATCGGCCAGCGCACCAACTGCCGGTGCGAAGATGCTTTTTTTGCACAGCGCCAGGAAGGTTTCTGTCGCTGTTTTTTCCGGCAGATGCTTCTAGCTAAAAGAATTGCGACTGGCAACCACAGTCAGAAAACATCTCCTTAAAATTTCAGCTTTCTAGCTTCTCTGGTTCCCCAGCTAGCAACCTACTCATTAAAAAACTTCACAGGCCCATACTTGAGAACAACGCATACCTGGAAGTTGAATCTGAAGTCATTCAACTGTGCGTGGACTAGAAGAATTCCCTTAAAATCGAGGGCTTTCTAGCTTTACTGTTCCCGAATTGGCAACTTACCCACCAAAAATTTTCATATACTCGTACTTGGGAACTACGCATACCTAGGGCTAGATTTAAAATCTCCACGTTCGACGGGGACAAAGAACATTCCCCCAAAATTTCAGCTTTCCAGCTTTTCTGGTTCCCGATTTACCAATTTCCTCGCCAAAACTTCCACGTGGCCGTAACACAGACGGATCCAGGAGATCTTTTGCCTCCCCCTTCCTCCCAGCGGCACAGGTACCAGTTTCTGTAGAAAACTCTCTTCCGCACTCCCCTGTCGCCTCCCCTCCAGGTGTAGTGGAAACACAGTTTCTTTCCGACCTTTTATTTTTGGAGTTTCCCATTATTTATGTAAATAACTTCAACTGCTTTTGTAAACTAGAAGTAACAATAAATACACGCACGCGACAACAATAATATTAAACCTTAGTCGAAACCAAAGAAAATATTCACGTTGCCAATCACGGACGAACACGTGAAATTTGACGTAACTCTGCAACCAGAGCAGCTGGAGTGCTGAAACTTTCTGAGCG